GACACCGACACCGTCTCGACTAGCGTCTCCGGCAATTTGTTCTAATATTTCACCCCTCGACGCTCGAAGGTGAGCTACGTGCTTTAAATCCGGTGCCACTGGTTTGTACCGGTGTTTGCGTGTGCTGCTTGGTATGTGAAGGTGCAGCAGCGGCTTCGACATACGGAAGTAGCCCAAGTGCAGTATCCGGTGCTTCAGAATGAGAGCAACTCAAAGCTGACGACATGACATGGCATAAAGCCCCAGTCACCTACATCGGTCCTCGTGCGACACACGCTGTAAACTGGGAATGAGCAGAGTAGCTCCATGCTGGACCCTTTCCAGTCTCCGCACCTCATCTATTGTGATCGGGCAATAGGCGGGCGAGCGTACTCAACCACCGGCCTTATTATACAAAAAAAGCAGTGCAGAAGTTGCGTCTAAGTACCCAAAGCAGGCGTAGTCCGTTTGCGCACAATCTGTTCGTGTTGTCGAGAGAGTACAAATCACAGCATAAGAGTACGTCTAGATCCTTTACGGAATTGGTGGAATGCAGCAGATGTCCGGCCAGGGTATATACTCGCCCGTTACTAACCCTCCCCAGGCTCATAAAGAGGACGTAACCGTGTTGACCGGTAGGGCAACTTCTGCAGACCACCGGCATAGGCGGTCGAGATCCCACTGAAGGAGGTCAGTCGCCTGGCGAATCAATAATCCTCCAAATCCGCAAATCATGCGCAGGGCGACTGAAGAGGCTGAGGTAGTTCGTCGATGTGAAGCAAGAGTAAAATGAACCCCAGCACTGCCTTGGGGTCGGCGGCTTGTGGACAAGTACCATTCTGTTAGGTGGTTATCCACCTGAATCTGCCATCTTTTCCCAATAAGGAAGTCACTTATCCACTGGTGCAGTGCGCCACCAACACCACACATCCTCAGCTTGTGGAGCAGGATCTCGTGGTCAAATGCTTTACTGAAGTCAATGCAGATAGCATCCACATGCTTCCCCGATTCAACACTTGCAACCATTCCTGACGCGTCAACATCAGTTGGTGATGCACGAGCAGCCCATCATGGAGTCGTGCTGTACCGGCATTAGGAGGTCTTTCGACTCCAGCAGCTGTAGAAGACCCTTTTACACAATGTTCTCGAGCACATTCGCCACAACAGAGGTAAGACAAATCAGTCGGTAATCATCCCCATTGCGTGGGTCACCATGTTTGGAATCGGCTTCACTACCGAGCATTTCCAGTCGCTCGGCAATAGACACTCGGACAGCGATCTGTTGAACAGATCCGTCACGGCAGGCGAGATGATGGCTGATAAGGACTTCAAAATAAGCGGGTGAGATTCATCGAGTCCGGCAGGTTTTATGCCACCAGGACTGGCGATTAGACAGCGGACATGTTCTTCATCGCAATCAAGTAGCTCGGGCTCGGCATTGGCGCATGCCCACTTGTATTTAGGGTACCGAAGTGCTTCGCGAATGGAGACACGCGTCCAGTGCTGGATGCCATGTGCATTTCGCCAGTGCACTCTAACCTAGCTATGTTACTTGCGGGTCACAGGCGCCACTTTACGTAAGCAAAAGTTTTTTGGTGGCCGTCTTCGCTTTGGTTGCAAACTCCTCTTCGCACTGCCGACGCTTTCGAGCTTTTGCGCTGCTGCATAGATTCAGCTGTCTTTTGTACGCCACATAATCGTCGGCAGATCCAGAGCCACGCGAACAACATCGAGTGATGACTACGGCCTATTGATGCACTTATGGTCACGGTGTCTAACATTAATTCCTTGTTGGAGAGCACAAGGTCCAAAACAGTGGTTGTGTCACACCTTCGGAATCGAGTTGGAGAGGTGACATGGTTGTAAAGAGTTACGTCGGTAAGCAACTCTTGAAAACCCGCCTTGAATTGTTCACTGCGCGATGCTGGAACTTCGATTGTGTGCAGGTTGGAGTCTCCTACCAGAAGGAAGTGAATGTGTGGTCGTTCCAGCAGTCGTTTCACCGCAGAAGCTAGGCACTAATCCATTCCAAGGTGGACATTGGAGGGCGGTAAATTATTACTACTAAACGTACATAACCACGTATTAGGTGAGTAGGACACCATAGAGAATCGACGACTTTCATTTCTGGGTACTCAATGAAAACAACTTGCAGTTCGGATCGAGAAGAAAAGAGCACACCCCTCCTCTGCTTGGTCGTTCGTTTCGTATGGAAGTCATGCCGGGTAGTGCAATCTCAGCATCCGTGATCTCCGTGTTCAGCCATGTTGCGGTGACAAAAACTAGGTCCCAAGGAGTAGAGACATGACGAACACGAAGTTCGGTTAGCTTACTGAGAAGACCTTGTGCATTGGTGTACAAGAAGGTGAGGGCATCTGTGGTCAGAAACGTGCTTTTGTATGCTGGTTTCCGGTGAGGGTCTATGCCGACCCTTGCGGGGTCGGCTGCCGATCGTATTTTTGTAGGGTCAATGAAGGAGGCCTTAGGTCCAGTTCAGATTGTTGTATAGACATCTGAGCGCCAACACAAGGGTAAGCATCCTGTCCTCCTTCAGCTGCCGGTGTGTTTTGACATTATCTCCGGTCTTAGCTACACGGTGACAGAACTTTATTGGTAAGTTGCTTGCTCATTGTTACATTGTCTATCTGTGGCCCGGTGCCCATCGCCTTTATATGTATTTCGGATGGCAGCATTTTACCTTTTTTGTGCCACATTTTGATCACATGTTCTATCATCAGTTCGGAGTGCAATGATACTTTCATCACTGGGGCCCACACTCTTTGTAGTTAGGTGATAGCGATAATCTTGGTGCCGAATCAGCGATAACATCTTCGAGTGAGAGTGTTTCACGAATAAAACGCCATTCATTCCACTCATACGCTTTGGCCTCCAGCTCGCTTATCGTTTGGAGTTCGTGGACACCATGAATAAGGATAGATTTTACGTTTTGGTGTTCACGGAAGCCATCCGGATTTCTCTTGAGTTTCCGGCTTTCGATCCAAGGAACATGTGGAAAAAGTAGAACAGTACATGTGGTGCTAAGGAGGCGATTAGCTGACAAGAGTACTGTCTCTGCATCACTACCTGACTGAAGTGTTACTCGGAGTAATCGCGGTTCACCGTAGTGTATGGAGTTTGGGTAAAGGACGAGGCGCATCATAGTGACTGGCTTAGCTTGAAGCCCTCTTAGTTGACACAGGGAGTCCCACCGATTTTTGTCGTCTAGTATATCTTTTATAGTATTTGCCTCTGCTTCAGTCACATTAGAGCACATAACAGTCAGAATTATGGTAGTGTTTCGTGTTCTCCTTTTGTAGGTTTCTGTGGCTGCTTTTTGGTTGGACAAATGATGGGCTCTTAAGTCCTGTGGTGGTATTGGTAGTATTAACTTGTTTGGCAGCGGGTGTGGTTATGATGGAAGGTGCCTCCGTCATAAGACTGGCAACAGCGGAAGCGTAAGTTGTCGCCTCTTTAACAGTGTTCAGTGTGGCGGGTGGTTCTGATGAAGAATGTGTAATGAACGCATCTTTACGAGCAGCCGCTGGTGTCTGGGTGGGTTACTCTGGATCGTTACACTTACACTGTTCTGAATTGGAGCTTGATGTTGAACATCAAGTTAGAGGCACTGATTTGTCTGGTTCATGTGGGACAGCTTTCACGGCTGCTGTTTGCTCTACAATCATTGTCGGCCAAACGCACTTCTGTGCCAACATGGGTATACATCTGACAAGTGGAAGAGACGTACACTCAGTGCAGAACCAGAGAGAATCGGCCGTACTATTAAGTTGTTTATACCTGGCTGAGACTAAGGCGAGCACATCGAGAATGAAAGTATTTTCGGAAGTTTCTGCATTCAATTCCAAATTGCACAAGTTTTACACAGCTGTCGACGCCACAACTAACGTTCATTTCAGAAGCTTTAGTCTTAGCTTTCCGTGGGCAAGCACTACGTGCCATTGTGACTATCGGATCTGCGGAAGTCGTTAGTTGCAACGTCTACACTGGTATGTTGAATCCAAACGTCATCGGTCAAGCTGGTGGTCTGGCAGACCCCGGTTAGATTACTGTAGAACAAATCCAAGATGGCGGACACTTACGGCGGTTGGGCCAGTCAATGGGATCCAAGACAGCAGCCGAAGAATATCCATCAAATTCCCACATATAGGAAAATACACCGAAAGCAAAGCATTGGTGCGCAATTCACAGAGAGAAAACACGTAGAACACAGTATTCCCAAAGCAAAAGTAGGATCCAGTAAGGTAAAGCAAAAGCCCGCGGCGTCCGTGGGTACAGCTGGAAGCGCAGTAAAATGCGGCATACATGATGTGGATTGTGCTGGATCAAGTAGGTCATTATCATGTCGCCTCGGGGTCTGCTATACCGTCCAGTGAATATTCCAGAACATTGTAGTAACATTATCTCTTACCAAACATATGTCTCTTTGCAACACAAGTAGTGGTAAGACAACACACCAAGTTGGCTGACTTGAACACCCGATGTTGAGGCTGATCCGAAGCAGTGAGATCATACTTTGGCTATGGTCGCCAGATTTGAGTTGCGCACTGGACACGGGGGCGAATATAAGTAGTGAGCAGCTGTAGAAGAATACGGATATTTACAAACCTGAGCGCCCATCTCAACATCCCCACGTGTTGGTTAGCACCTTCAAAACGTTTTCGGATTGTCTGGAACAGCTCCATTCATCCTAAAGCAACGGTCATATGTCACGCCCTACAGAACGTCGCTGCAGTATTTGCCTTCCGAACCTGTAGGAATGGGTGCTTCTGGTGTCATATAGGATCGGTGTTGATGAAAGATGACCGATATTAAATCAGAAAGAAATTTGCACTTTACGCTGAAAAACATCGCTAGGGCCAACAACTATGGCATAAGATTTTTACTAGTGCGACGATTGCTTCCGTACAAAAATGTTATAGTAACTAAGTTATACTAAACTTAAACCTTCTAACCGATGGGTCGGAGTAAGTAACACATTTACGATTAACTACAACTAAAAATACCATCAGTCCGTTGAGCACGAATCCGAGTTGTTTCCGCCACACGTAAGAAGCTTCCTTGTGAAGTTTCTTGGCCATCGGGATCTCTGGCCGGTAATTAATTGTGCCAAGCTTTATGTCACACACGTTGGGAAATTCGAATGCAGCGAGATTGTCGGATAGGCCCAAATAGATATCTGAGGGCATGTCAGGGTGAGAAAAGAAGACGAATTTTAAAGTTTTAACCAGATAAAAAAGTAGATTGCTGAACTGAGTCACATTACTAATCTGGATAGATATTTGGGGATTCCACCAGTGAATTACTTGTGCTAAATCTAATTAATCGGAGGAAAGTGGTGTGTTGCAAACCGAGCCGGTAAATTCCATGCTGTATACGAAATCCAGCTGCTGCGAGAATGTTAACTGCGATGGCGAAGTTTCTACATAATGGAACGTCGAGAAATATACCTAATTATTTGTGTTGCATTAAAACCAAGTGCTTGTGCTTCCCAAAAGTTGATGTGTTAGTAGCTTACTAGCAACTTCGACAACTCTGAGAATGAAGGTATCCATTCTGTACAAAAGAGTTAATCGGATGGGTGTTTATCAGGATCATGCACAACAACCAGACTTCGTTAGAGTGCCTGTCGATTACACCAATCTTACTGCTGCCCACGAACAAAACAGTGATTGCAAATGCTGACTTGTAAAGGTTCTGAAAACAGCGGAAAAAGGAATCAATAATAATAGTATTATTAATAAACATGATGAGTCTAGTTGTGTTTTGCGTTTTCTATATATGTGCCAACGTTCCGGATTTTGTAAGGGTGATATATATATATATATATATATATATATATATATATATGAAAGTATTCCAGCACCTTGTCTATTTTAACATCTTTTGAACTGGAAATGGTTATCAAATAAATAAATAAATAAATGGTATATTATTTGAAGGATGTTTGTGAGGAACGTAAATTTCGTAGAGGGTAGAAGTCACAATTAAACTCCACACGAAAATCTGCCTCGACGGGGAATCGAACCCCGGTCCTCGAATTTCCGGTCCGTTGCTCTACCCGGAAATTCGTGGACCGGGGTTCGATTCCCCGTCGAGGCAGATTTTCGTGTGGAGTTTAATCGTGACTTCTACCCTCTACGAAATTTACGTTCCTCACAAACATCCTTCAAATAATCTACCATCGCCCTTTGGACTTCGGATGGACAGTTACTTCGGTCCAATGGGAAGTGACGAGTGAGTGAGCCGATCTGCAACACCAGGACAGTTACTGTGAGCTCATTGGCAATACGTCGCGCACTAAGCAGAAGTCACGTGTTAAATTCCCCACCTAATAATCAGCCCTCGGTAGCTCAGTGGTAGAGCAACGGACCGGAAATTCGTGGACCGGGGTTCGATTCCCCGTCGAGGCAGATTTTCGTGTGGAGTTTAATCGTGACTTCTACCCTCTACGAAATGGTATATTCTTCGACGATACGAGAAGCTGTTCCCTAGAAGAAACCGATCAAATAATAGTCCAACGTTTCCATGACATTGCATTAATACTTTCTCAGAACTAAACATGGGAGTAATTTCAAATTAGGCAAATTAATCGGAATCGTTCTAATAATTTTTCCTGTCACTGAACCAAGATTCTTTACAATCACATGACGGATGTTTGGGCCAAGCAAAAATGAAATGTAATGAAAGAGGCTGTTGTCCGAAATGTTATGTATATGTGTTTCGGCAATTTATTCATACACGCTTGATAGTATTTTTGAAAGTGTTATCTAGGGATTGGGATGTCCCGAACATATTAATTACGTTTTGGACGGCTAACTGCTTACTAATCGCAAGCTTAAAATTGCAAAGTGTATAGCGTTTTCTGAAACCAGTTGAAAGTTTGTTCCAAATCTTTGAGTAGTGGATTAGATAGAAACGTTTTTTGATTCCCGTAGTAAATTTGGAATCATGCCCTTTACCTCTTTGTTACGGATTGCATATCTGTTGTTTAAAAATATGTGAACACCGTTAACAAGACTGCCAATTTGACAGTTTATGATTCTGTACAGAAAACATAGGTTCAGCTTCATTCACCGAAACTAAACTGGGTCAAATCCAAGTTTATCACATCGCTCTCTGTATGTCAACTTTGAGGAATATCCACATAGCTTTTTCGTGAAGCGTCTCTGGACCCTCTCAAGAGCATGCTGGTCAGATATCAGCAGATTAGACTGTACCAGTGAACAGCATTCCATACACGGCAATACATATGTTTTGTAAAGCGATATGCGAGATTCTGTGAGGTAAACATGATGGCAGATGTAACCGATGGTCTTCATGGCTTTCGAAACTTGGAAGTCACAGTGCTCAGAAAAGTCAAATGTGACTGAATATCGCACACTCAAGTTGCGAAGTGCCCTGCATTGCCAGATATATGCAACATGTAGTAATAAGCTGTATGGCTGTACTTGGTATTTACACGACAAAATATTACACTCATCCACGGCAAATGACAACTGTCACAGTTGGCAGCAGGAATCAAGAGCAGATAGGTCGTTCTGAATGAGACGTAGTGCATGTGGTTGTGAGTAGACAATTTTAATACCATCAGCAAAGATAAAAGTAACACCATTTCATCTTCTCTGTAATATATCGTTAATATATACTAAAAAAAGAAGAGGACCAAGAATACTCCTTGGAACCACTCCGCAGGTGTTTGCTTACCGTTTAGAGAAATGATAGCCGATGGGTACCCCCTGCTGTCTACCAATTAGATAAAAAGACAGCCAAGAAAACATCCGTTTTTCAATGTCCATAGCCTTCAGTTTGTTCAGTCACCTGTGAGGCACTCTATCAAAGGGTTTTCGCATATCCAGGAACAGGATTACAACACTGTTTCCTTTGTCCATAGCAGCCGTTATGTGATTTAAAAAGTCAGTCTGGCATGTTGCGCAGGATCCACCCTACATGAAGCCATTTTGCGAATTGCTGATGATGTTAGCTTTCTTTAAGAATACAAATAGTTCATCTTTCACTATCCTTTCTATTATTCCAGATATGAGGAGGTTCGTGATCGATGGGACGAAAGGTTTTAACCTCGTGGGCAGCGCCATTTTTGTGTCGCGGGATAACGACAAAAGTTTTCTGTTGAGTAAGGGATACTCCGTTGTTAAAAGAGAGTGCAAAGCTTTTGGAAAAAATCAGTTAGAAGTCACTACCACTGCTTTTTATTAAACAAGTCGTGATCCCAACAGGGCTTGCGCACCTTGAGGAGCATAAGCGACAGACTTGCGCGGTGCTTTTCGCTGTAGTGAATTCCACGGTGCATAGACTTTCATTATTGTGTGGCACAAAAAGTGCTGGTGTGTCTAATGATTCATTGACCGTTGGTTTGGCAACATAAACACTGAAATCCTCGCAGATATCACCTAGCGTGTCGTAGTATGTTCCATCAACACGATGGTAAAGAAAATAGTAATATATAATATACAATTTAATTTTATATACTAATTTTGCTTGTCGACTAGTAGCCCGCTGGTAGCTTACCGGAACGATGCCCATCCGTTGTTGGTAGCTCAGCTGGCATGCAACTGTTGTATTTATTTTCTCTTTTTGCTTTTATGTATTACGGCACAGTAGCTGAGGTCTTTCCCACATCTAGCTAACGTGTATAATGATGGATGATAGTAATCAGTATCCAAAAGGTGCTTTATTGCTGAATACGATGCGCCGCTTTTGCACATATCTAGAGAAAAGGTGTTAACGAAACTTTTATCTGATCTGTGTTTTGAAAAATACTGTTGGATACGGTAGATCCATCAACAAATTTTCTATGGTCACATACGTATCCTTGAGGCTTTTTCCAAGATGTGAACCGCGCTAGTTAGTCTGGAGATCTCAACAGTGGGCCAAATCCATACACTTATTTTATTTTCCTGTAGTTTTATTTCATATAACAAAATCAAAATTGATATACACCGGGCTTATTCGTATTGCACTCAAATTCCAATGGAGAATGTCACCTTAGAACTGCAGAATAATTTGGTCGTAATAAATTACTTTAGGTCTGCCACCAAAGTATGTGGCGTGACGCCGTGTCAGAAGACCGAACGTACAGTGGGTACCCAAAAGCCAGCTATGTATTACCAGTCTACTGGCTAAGCCCTGCAGTAGTCAAGGTTTCAGTCGCCAAACATCACGCCCAAGATTTCACTGCCATCGCTGACATGTTAGCGGCACACAACGTGTCAGACTGAAAACAAAGTCAAACCTGGAAGACATAGTTGAAAGCGAAGGACGCCAAGAAAGCATGGGCTATCATGTATTCCATTTGATGGGAAATAGTAACATCTAGGACTATGTACAACAAGTAACACCATCGGCTTGAATCCCAAAATTTAGAAATTTTATCCAACTGCGCTGCCGGATATGTAGGATCTTGTAGTAAATCACTAACCAGAACAAACATCAACAATTATGTTTGGACTACTGGGTAACCTGCGGTGTTGGGAAAAGTTCCGCGAGTAAGGAGGGTGCATGTATGTCAGCTAAAGTGATGGACGTAGGCACTTCAAGTAACTACCTTTCTGTTTATTTTATGAAGTCACTCCCTAGAAGCGCTGGGTATCAATCGACGAAAGATATCCACAGCGCCACTGTCTCTATAGTTTATCTCGACTGATCACGTCTTGATCACGTCTGTGTGCGCACGCAGTAATCCATCGGACACATTTTAATCGGATTCTCCTCAACCTTCTGAAGCCTCTCTATCCACCGCTGTCATCGCTCTGAATGTCCCGACGTATCTTACCTGGACGCGATCGTTGTGTTGGCAATGAGGGGCTCAAAATGAGCTCCAACTAGCTAAGAATTATGGGTGAGAGTTTTCCCTACGCTGCTGCACGTCACTCAACTACGCACTGATGATGTCACCTTGATTGGTGACGAAACGTTTGCAACAAAATTGCCCAGCTCAGCGAACAGTTCAACTGCCACCTGAACAACCTTAGCTACCAGACTTCGTTTGTGGATGAATTGAGCCTAAAGCACCCAGTCTGCTATCAATTGCATTCATCAATTTCTGCATTAGTCAACAGTTTAGAAGCTTCTGTACTGCACTCCAAGACCGACGGTTTTGGTTTGACTTGGACGCATTATGTCGAACTACCCTAAACTGAGGTTGGAATTCGACACATA